AAGGCAGAAGTCAGAAGAAGAATAAGGGCAGCAAGTTTTTAATGGGAAGAGGCACCAGATAACTCCAGAATAGAGGTAGCAGTGGACAGCAAGAATGAAGAGTTCAGGGAAAGTGAGCACTACTGACAACTGGACATAAACACAAAATGGATAAAAATAGACAACAGAGGGTTTGTCCTCTCAATCCACGCAGGCATCCCTCCAGTCATGCCCCTCATGGGGTAAAAGTGTGTCTTAGCTATAGGCATGCTCATATCAAGCCCAGGCCCAGTTGGGGTCCCTAGAGGACCCCCCAAATCACCACTAAGCCATATGACAACACCATGGAACTGCAAGTGGGGACCAAATCAAACTCCGTGGCTTCAGAGTAGTGTCAGCCATAGAACTTCTTCACAAGTACTCAAATCATTCAGTTAGCAGACATACAGAATGAGAGAAGAGGAAAGAAACAGGATGTTACATTACTGTTCAGTGTCCTGACACTGTGCAAGCTGGTAGGTTCAAGAGAGAGCAAGGGGGCACCATACTCACCCTGAAGAAGGACAGGGGCACAGCACACCTTAACTTGTCTCAGGGGTTTTAGGCACTAGATATTAAGTCATGGACTCAAGAGGAACCAGAGAAAAAGAAAGCAAGCAGCTTCTTGTTGTTTTTAGGTGCCGTCAAGTCATAGGCATAGCAACCCTATGAATGAAAGTCCTGGACACCTGTATCACTTTTGTCCCTTCTCCAGGTTCAAGCTTGTTTTAATTGTTTAGTAGTCACACTATTTTGCCTCACAGCAACCATGAGTTACCTCTGTACAGCAAGTGGACATACCAGGGTTACATGACCTAGAAGAATGTTTCACCCAAAACAATTAAAGGCTGGCCTTAAAAAAGCTTTATTAAAAACAACTATGAGATATCATCTCACCCCAGTCAAAATAGCAAAATTTAACAGAACAGCAAGCAATAAATGCTGGCGAGGTTGTGGAGAAACTGGAACCCTTATTCACTGTTGGTGGGAGTGTAAAATGGTGCAACCCCTGTGGAAAGCGGTATGGCGTTTTCTCAAAAAGTTGCAAATAGAGATACCATTTGACCCCACAATACCGCTACTGGGAATATACCCAGAAGAGACCATAACTGACACCCAAGCAGATATATGCACACCCATGTTTATTGCAGCTTTGTTCACAATAGCAAGGAGTTGGAAACAACCTAAGTGCCCATCAACAAACGAATGGCTAGAGAAGCTGTGGTATATTCGCACAATGGACTACTATGCTGCATTAAAAAACAAGGAACTCATGCAATATTACTCAAAATGGCTGACTCTGGAGAACATTATGCTGAGTGAAATGTCCCAGTCACAAAGGGACAAATGTTGCATGGTGCCACTGTTGTAGAATGGGACTGTCCTTGGGCTTGGGGAGAGACTGAGTAAGATGGGTTCAATAATGTATGCTGCTCTGAAACAGAGAAGGGAGAAAACTGTTTAACAGAGATATGTGATTAGGTATTTCTGTCATGACAGGAGTCTAGAGCGATGGCTACATGGTGGAGCGGACCTGGGGGAGGGTTTGTAAAATAATGAAAGAATCTTTACTTTTCCAAGAGGGTAATGTCTGGTGGGGGGGAGCCTTGGGAGGGGACAAATCTACAACAATGAATGAATGGAAATCCAAAGCCTCTGTAAATTTTCACTGAAATTAATAACAAATTTAAATTAAAAAATAAAAAGAATTAAGTTAGAGTAAGGATGGCAATGGAAGCACCTTACCTCTGTAACTTGATTTGTGCCTCTATTAGAACCTCTACTCAGAATATTATTGCTTTTCAATTTTTGACTCATGCACTTTTAACTTGTTAGTTAAATTTGTATCTTCTAGGCTGCAACACTTCCATGATACATCTTCAAGGATATGAACATGTACGGCTAAGCACAATTGATAACAGTGCATCTGAATTCCAAAATCAATCTCCATAATAGTCTATGTGTTTCCTACTGCCAAAGGGGCCTTTTAGAGTAGTGAGAGAAGATCTTCACCCTGAAACCCACAGCGTCCCTTTTCAGCAGGAAGTAGCTAAGAGAATATGCCATCCCCTTTTCCTTATGAATCAGGGTGAAGTCTCTCTCAGGGAGGAGTGATAGGGAATGACAAGGGACACACTGACAAAGGAAATTAATCAGAACTGGCTTTGACAAGCACTGTGGCAATTGGACAATTAAAACAGACATGGGGGGAGAAGAACGAACTGGGGAGGAGGGTGGAGAAAACAGTGCAACAATGAATGAATGAAAACCAAAAATCTCTGTAAATGTTCATTAAAACTAATAAAATTTAATAAAATAAAAAAAGCTTTATTAGATGTTGTGACATTGGGGGGGGGGAGCTTTATTAAGGAGGCTCCTGGATGACATTCCTTGGTCTGGAGAGAAACCGTACCCTAGGTGGGTTAGGGCAGGTTTTTATAGCAGGGTCATCAGTGAGGGAAGGGAGGCTTCAGCCAGGTGGGCAAGGCCATTCAATCCTTTTGTTGACATGTATTCTTTGAATTCTTTATTCTCCTCCTTGACCTTGGTCTGGGCCTAACAGACATGTGGTTATTTTTCAACCATCTCATTTGTCTTTTCCTTAAATTTGCTGTTTTGCCATATTTCCTGAGAGTCTATTTTTATTGTCATATAGCCACATTCCTTGAAGGTCCATTTTTATTGTTATCCTGCCACAGTCTTTGTCAAAACCAGTTCTGATTGATCTCCTTCATCAGCAGTTCCTTTGCCATTCTCTGTCAGGATCAAGGATATCACAGTTGCAGTTAGATGTATCCTGGCTGAAAGTATAGAATACCAGAAGAATGTCTATTTGTGTTTTATTGATTATGCAAATGATGGGGCGGTATTAATAAGTTCAGAATTCTCTAAGTATGTATCAGTTATAAAACTATAGTTATATAGTTAGAAAGCTGACTTCAGTTTTCTCCAGCCTTCCAAACTAGTTACCTTGTCTTAGAACTCTTTACTTTCTTCCTTTAGTCATGTAAAAGAGTTTAAACTATTTACCAGGAGAGAAAATGCATCTTTCCTAGATTAGCCTTTACCTCTTCGAAGCTGTTTTTCCCAGTCATATGTAAATTGTATCTTAATCTGCTTGTTTACCAAGCAGGGAAATGTGCCCTTCCTGAATTACTAGTACTTATATATGAAATGTTCTTTTCCAATGTAGAAATTCTGTAACTTTACTAACAAAACTGTATTGTTAAGTGAGCTAATATCTATCCCTAGTATAAAAACTAATGAGCATTTCCAAACAGGGAGGCAGTTTTTGAGGGGAACTCACTGTCCTCCCAGGTCTATAATAAAGTGCTTACAGATATTTCAATCCATCTGTCTTATTGGCAATTGACTATGGAAGGAACCCCTTGCGTTCAGTAACACAAAGACAGTTGATTGTGTGGATGGATCATAACAAATTATGGGTAACATTTTAAAGAATGGGAATCCCAGAACACTTAATTATGCTCATACAAAACTTAGACCTAGACCAAGAAGCTGTTTTCTGAACATAGAGCAAGGGAACAATATATGGTTTAAAATTAAGAAAGGTGTGCAGTAGAATTATACCCTTTCTCCACATCTACTTAGTTTGTATGCTGAGCAAGTTACTTGAGAAGCTGGACTCTATGAAAAAGAATGTGCTATCAGGATAGGAGGAAGACTCAACAACTTGTGTTATGCATATGATGCAAGCTTGCTTCCTCAAAGTGAGAAGGACTTAGTGAGCTAGCTGTAGAAGATCAAAGCATCTCTACATCAAGGAAACAAAAAATATTCACCATTGAATCAATAAGCAGCATCATGATAAATGGAGAAAAGATTTAAATTGTCAACAGTGCCATATAACTTGTTCCACAATCAACACTCTTGGTACTAACAGTCACAAGATCAAGAGACTTATAACATTGGGTAAGTCTACTCTCAGGGACTTTTCCAAATTATCGATGAGCAATGATGTCAGTTTGAAGACTTAAGGTGTGCTTGATTCAGGCCATGGGGTTCTCAAAATCATTTAATATGCATATGAGAGTTGGAAAATGAATAAAGATGGAAGAAAAATTTATGCCTTTGACTTGTAGTTTTGGAGAAGAGTACTGAATATCCCATGGACTGCCAAAAGAACATATATGTCATGGGGAAAGTGTAGACAGCCCTGGAGGCAAAGATGACGAAGGTTCAGCTCACATATACTTTGGACAGCTCGGCAGTTTCTCTCAGTAAACTGTCTTTCTTGGCCTGAACTGGGTTTTCTGTCTTTCCTTAGTAACCTCACAGGCATGTTGTTAAGACACACCTCTCAACCAGATGGAATGACACAAGGACTGCAGCAATGGGCTCAAGAGTGTTGGAGATGATGAGGGTGGCACAGGATAAGACAGGGTTCAGATCTGTTGTTCAAGGGTCGCTAAGAGACGTATTTAACTCTAGGGCATCTAACAAAAACAACATAGCTAGAGAAAGGGCCTAGGCACTTGGTGTGCATCTAGTTGTAACTTATCGGCTCCTTAAACGTCCACAAAATTTAGAGAATAACCAGAAATGCTAGTGAACGTTGAGAGGTAAAAAGTGAGAAGCAATACCCGGAGTCGGCACTCCACAGGCAAGTTCTCTCTCAAGTTAAAACTTTGATCTCTATTGCCCTTAGGCACAACACCTGCGGCGAAGCCCTGCCTTCTGCCTTCCCAAAGACATGACCTTCAGGGGCGGGCCTATTACTCTCCCCTGTCTGTGATTGGGAGCCTTGGCCTAGGAGGCGGAGCCTCCAGATGGGGCCCAGAAGGGTTGGTGGGTGCGCATGCGTCCCTTTGCTGTTCTGTGCCTCATCCGCCCCGCTTCTCTGTAGTCGCGGCCTGTGATTGGCGCTTTGGGTGGTGCGCGCGCAGAGCCTGTCTCCTTGTTTAGCGTGACCTCAGTGCGGCTGATTCCTCTCCCTGCCTTCCTTCTCCCCTATCGAAGGCATGGCTGCACCCCTGTTGCTGCGGCAAGGACGTTTTGGGGCGCTGAAGGTAAAGGACAAACCAGCCCTAGCAGGGTTGGGCGGTAAGGGCCGCACGGACTGACCAGGACGGAATGTTGCCGCTGGCCAGGCGCGAGTTGGGCGCCTCCAGCCTTCCTGTCCAGACCTCTGACCCAGAGTCGAGCAAGAGGAAGCGGTGCTGACAGCCGGGCACGGGCTGCCGCGGGGCCTGATCGGAGCCAACTAGCGGTCATTTGGGTTCGCCGGCGCTGCGGCCCTGCAGTCCCCTGAATGACTCCCGTCCCGATCACAGGACAGGCCGCTGGGGCAGCCTGGGATTCGCCCCACACCTCCGCCACTCCCCGGCCTGGGGCGGAGCAGTGACTCGGAAAGACCAGCTCTGGGTGACGGCGGCGCCCACTCCGGCAGTGTCTCACAGGCCAGCCTTTGGCGACCGATGTTCCCGTGGGTGGCCCCGCCAGGCGCCGGGGCTGACCAACCCTGTGCTTCTGATAACAGCATCTTCACGTCTTCCTGAACTAAGGCAGTGAAGGAAGAATTACCCACCACTTTAACCCCAGTAATTACATACTAGTAGTTAGGTAGCTATTGGCTCACGCTTCCTGGCTTGTGAAAACTAAAAATTCATTATTATTCTTGTTTGGTGCCACTGGGTCGAGTGTGATCCGTAGCAACCCTATGAACCACAGATCTGAACCCTACCCTGTCCCCATCCTCATAACCTCTGCCATACTCAAGCCCATCGCTGCAGTCACTGTGTCAGTCCACCTGGCTGAGGATCTTCCTCTCCTTCGCTGTCCCTCCACCGTCCAAGTATGATGTTCCCGTCCAATGAATAGTCTTGAAATTCATTCTAGTCGACACCACCTCATAGCTGACTCTCCAGGGGTTTTGCAGAGGCTGTAAATCCCAAGGAAGAGATTGCCCATCTTCCTCCTGAGAAGCCCCTGGAGGATTTGATCTACCTTTGGGTTACCTGTGCAACTCCCTATGATTATGCCACCAGGGTTCCTTAATAGACATTAGGAAAATGATAATAACCACTAAGAACTATGTCACTGGGATGCACTAGTATAGCCATTAGCAGTGGTATTGCTCTAAAATGTTCGTATTTGTCATTCTTTCGTCAGATTGGGCTCCAAGCAGGGGTGCTTCGAGGACTTGCCTCTACTGTGTCTCTCTCTTCAAAATCAGGAAAGAGTGAAAAGGGGCTGTCACCAAATGCCAAGAAGCAAAGTCCACCAAAAAGTAAGATTTTCACAATAGTAATAAAAGAAGGAGGATGGAAAAGCCTCCTGAGCCTGAGGAGATATTTTACTAGATACATGGCTTGTGGTTCTTTATATTCAGTGGATTTGTCACCTTAAAACTTGAGTTTAAAACTCTGGCGTGTCCAATTCCAAAATGACTCTCCAAGTCTTTGAGACGAAAGAGGGCCTTTATTAAGAGACTATCTTATGGGGAAACCAGCAACATGGGCTGCTATTTTGGGTTCCATTCCCCACTGATGGTCCAATACAAAAGAGAAGGAAAAGCTATGCATAATCAGGCTTCCAGATGGCCCATAATTAAAATAATTGTTAAATATCTTGTCTAGGGATGGTTATCTTGAGGGCTTTATCTCTTCCATTTCAATCCAGATGTCTTAATGAAGCTCATTAATGAAGCTTCTGTTCAGCAGGTGCCAAGCATTCCTATCCTGATTAAGAAGATAGGGTTTTAGTAGGTTATTAACATAGAGTTAGTTATTTGGAAAGCATAATATAGCTACAAGAAAAACAAAATGGCATTACTACTGTTAACTACTGACTGTTCCCCCTTTTCATAGTGTCCATATTATCCATCATAAGATCTACAACATATTTTGCACCAAACACATCAGAATTATAATATTTTTTTACTCATTATTTAGTCCTGCACCACCTTTGATATTTTCTAAAGGCCAAGCTATAACATGGAGCAAGTGGTGCAGAATATAAAGATTTGGTGTCTTTTAATCATAACCAAACCAGTTGCCATTGACCCATGTGTGTCAGAGTTAAACTTCTCCTTAAGGTTTATTCAGAAGCAGATCACTAAGCCTTCTTCCAAAGTACCCCTAGGTGGATTCAAACCACTAACCTCTCAGTTACAAGTTAACCATGATAACAGTTTATACAACCTAAGGATTCATTAGGGCCTTACACAGATTCTGTGCAATAGATGGAACCCCACCTTTTATTCCTCTGATTTTTTTTTTTTTTTTCGGTGTCTCTGAGATTTCTCTGTGTTTTCCCAGCCGTTGCTGGGCCACAATCCAGGATTACAGACATCCTTTTATGAGTTTGTGGAGAAGGAGTTTGGAGCAGGCAATTTTCCACCCTGATTCACTTTGATGGTACATGATGTCTGATCTTTTTCCAGCTCTTTCTACCATCATTGAGTTTTATCATGAGCCTTTTACTTCATTTTTTTTTCCTCCCCCAATTTCCAGTGTACTCACATTAAAGGGAAAGAAAACTGCAACAGTGAGTTTTAAATGTTTCTGGGAATTATTTCTACTCTCTGCTGGTTATTACTAATTGACTGTGATCCAAGTCCATTGCTTTAGTCTTTCTTGATGGTACCTCAATTAACTCTTTGAAGAATTGAGACTTACAGTCCTTTTGCAACTCTTAATGGTCATAATAGAATGAAGACTAGTAATTTGGTTTTATTTACATTAAAAAAACTATTTTTGGTTTTATTTACATTAAAAAAACTATTTTCTCCATTTGAATGCTTGGAAGTGTATAGATTTTTGGCCTTTGCCCCTTGTTCTCCACACAGCTGGTTGGCTATAGTTATGCTCTTGGGGGTCTCAGCTCCTAAGACCCATTCACACACTTTCCAACACACCATCCTGGTGACCTCTGTCACCCAGTGAATGGAGTCCCTACTGTGATGGGTGGATCCTTTAATTCTTTATTGCTCCTGGGTCATTTGCATATTTATTTTTCTTCAGCGGCTTTTGTTTTTTTCTGTTCACTTATTAATATTTCAACATGTGTTTGAAACATAAAAATCCAAACTCAAAGGAGGTCTGGTGGCCTAGTGGCAAAAGCTAGTGACTGGGAGCCTTGGCCTAAGAGGTGGGGCCTCCAGATGGGGCCCAGAGCAGTTGGTTCAAATCCACCAGATGCTCTGCTGAAGAAGGAGGGACGGTCTACTCCTATACTAGTCAGATCCAATTTGACAGTACACACACACCCCCACACACACACCCCCAAAATAATAAAATAAAATCCAAACTCAAACTCATGACTTGAGTTAGAGCTGGTTCATAGCTGACCGTCTAGCAGGTTTTTCTAGGCTGTGAATTGCACCAAAGGAAACTGCCCATCCTTCTCCCATGGAACCACTGGTGGATTCAAACCCAGAGAGGAGTACCACGTTATCTATTAGTAGTGAAACTCCCTAGTGGTGAACTATACCACTAGAGCTCCTTAACGTAAACATAAATATTCTTTTTTTTCTTAAAGCAAGCACACTGTAGTACCATTGTCCCACCTAAAAATTAACATTAATTCCTTAATGTAACAAACTAGTGGCCTGGAATACTTTTGTTAATTTATTAAAATGTTTACGATGAAAATGTTAAATTCTGTTTTATACATAAGACCTTTTTGTCTTTCTTAAGTTTACTCATGAATGATTTGTTGAATTTTGTTGTACTATTTTACCAGTGAATTTTAGTCACATCTGCATCCCTCCTTCATTAGAGATCTCTTTGATTACAAGATTATTTGTTATCTAGGTCTAAAACATGACATAGCCCCCTTTTGTCTTTTGGAAATGTATTTGAGTGGCCATAGCATGCTTCATTCTGTGGCAGTTTTGTGTGTGTACAGTTGTGGGAAGAGAGCACAGAGTTTGAAGCTTACCTTGTACTCAAGTAGCTTCTACCCCTGAGTGTGGCCGAACCTTGGGGCTGCTGAGCATTGGTTCTTTCATGCTTAAATAAGGACAGAGCGCAGCATGGCTGGGTTCTTTTGACACTAGGAGAACACTTTACTTGTCACTAGTGTCCATGATATTTGTATACTGTTATTTTTAAAAAAGAAATCTCAGTGCAAAGAAAATGAAATAATGCTTCTGAAGTGGTCACATTCAGACCTTCATGTTTCTACCTAAGAGTCAATGATTGGCAAAAGCGTTCATCTACTGACAGTCAGCTGACCCTCTTTCAACTGTGGATGTCTTAGGAAGCTCCAGTGGAAGTTTCCTGGCTCCTTTAAGTAGAGGGACTCTTAAGTGCTCACCCTTAGGGAACCCATTCTCTGGTCAAAGATCTTGGCAGCTGCTCTGGGTTCTCGGCTGTCTCGCGCAGTTTGGGATTTAAGTTTTTCAGAGCACATGCTTTCTTCTAGTGGAGGGAGGCTGGCTTGATCTTAGAAATGTACCCTTTGGGAGAATCATCCAGCTCTCCAGCATTTATTGGTCTGTTGAATCCAGTTTCTGGTCTCAATTTTGCAACCATCAGTAATACTAAATAATTCCTGTGTAGCTATTTAAAGATTATGTAAAGAAGCTCAGGTTGATTATCTATTTCAGGGCTTTATTTCCGTTTTAAAAATGAGGAGTCTCAGGAAATAGGGATTTGATGTGTTTAATTATAGGAAGTCTTGCCAGGCACTGTTCTAAGCACTTTCCATATATTACTTTGGCTGCCCTCAAGCAGCCCCATGAGTAGATGCTCTTATTGTCCTCATTTCATAGACGAGGCAGTGGAGCTGTAGAGACAAGTGAGCTGGCATACTTAACGCAGATGGCCGGTGCTGGTGGCAACCCCGACAGGCAGGCTCCAGAGTCCATGATTTTAATCCCTGACCTGTCTTGTCTCTGCAAAATCTTGATTCTTAAGCATTCATTAAAAGAAACACATTTTTAGTACTCATTTGTAAAAGTTTTAAATTACCATTTAACATTTCACTAGCTTTATTCTTTCATGCTGTGTCTTTGTACCTGAGAATGGTTTGTTTCTGAAATACTGTTTTTATGACCTACCTAATATGGAGTATCTACCTACATACTCAATTTTACTATGGAGCCCCCCACTTTTCAACAGATCCGGAAAGAGATTGATGAAATTTCCATTTTATTTTGATAGGAAGTGATACAATAAGGAGACATTCCCTTCTGTGCTGTTTTGTTGTATTTGCACGTCGTATAGTGTAGCTCATGCTTGCTAACTGAAAGGTGAGCGGTTTGAAACCACCAGCCTTCAAGGGAAAAGATGTAGCAGTTTGTTTCTGTAAAGATTATAGTTTTGGAAACCGCACAGGGCTGCTTTCATGTGTCTCTTTGGGTTGCTTGAGCACATTGAGCTATTTTTACACATTAACAACATCCATCTGACAGTAACAAACCCCCAGATGTGAGGTGAGAGTAACGCTTGGAGTGACAGTTCAGGTTCAGTGTCACCCTGGCCAAGCTGTGATTCTCAGTGGTTCACAGTGATGCACTTCTGTAACGAAAGAGTTATATCCTCCATTTTGTGCTTTCCACCTGAGCATAATAGCCTTGTCCTTGAAATTAACCATGTCTGTAAGGGAAGATTGGCTTTATCTTGGCATCTCATCTCTACACAGATGCCTAGTCAATGTGCTAAAGAAAATAAATGGTTAGCCCAAAATCTTCATACACCCAGGATGTAAGCCATTTCCCCCCTTAATGGGAGGCATCTTCTTCCAAATGCAGTCTTGGTGTTGATGCCGTCAAGACTGATCACACCATGCACGTTTCCTTCCTGGGTCAGAAAAAAAACCACCACCAAACAACCACACCACAAAAAGATGTTGGGCCTTTGCTGAAAAACTGGCCTCTTGGTCAAAAGGAAAATGTATTACTACAGTATAGTTGGTATACCTTTTCCAGTAGATTTTTTCCAGAGAAACTTTAAATTGTCCTTACTTGGTACAATAGAAAAATATTTCCTTTTTCAAGCAGAATGTCTAAATTGTCATTTTTAATGACATTAGAAATGTTCTTTTTAGTAGATGATATAGAATATCAACCTATAATAATGTTTGATAATTCTCTAACGTGTTAAAATCCACAGCAGACTCCAGGAGAATCTTTTGTTGAATTGTTCTTATACTTGCTGGGATGCCGGAGCCTCAGGTGTCGCTGAGTTCTGAGTGCCATCTCTATCAGCCCCTGCTCAAGGGAAGCCTCCATACAGACTACAGGGCCAGCCAGCACCCGAGTGTTCTCTTTTTATATACTTTTGCTTTTTTTTCTGACTGAAGAAATCTTCAAATGACCTCAAAGTGTGATATTTAAGGACTTTTCCTCCTCCCTAGGCCATCTTTCCCATGACTACATTATATCCCTCCCATCTACCCCAACACTGACACACTTGTATGTGCCCCCCCAGGTCTCCACGGCCTGTTGTCTCTACTTTTGACTGAATGCATTCTTATTGCTCTTTGGTTCAAAAAGTTCAGGTTCACCTAACATTGGTGACTTTTTTAGTATTTGAGATGTACAGATTTTTAGTTTAGGTTGGTTTTTTTTTTACTTTAAGGACTGTAAGGAAATAAACATTAGAAAACTTAATGCCAACTTGCAATTATATCATAGTTTAATTTGTCTTGAATTTGGCTGAAAGAGCAGTTCAAAAAGAATTATTAAAGAAATTGCCCTCATGAAATATGGAAACATCATACCAGTATTCTTGTTGGTAAAAATTCCCATTTTCAAGTTTTCAGCTACAAAGAAAAATATTTATGTCCCTTGTTGTGTTTGTTCTAAGAGTGTGTTTCTGAGGAAATTCTTAGCATGACTTCATTAGGAGAATATAGGTGATAAATTTATGTGTAATGAAATGTCTGAGTATAAGTAATGAGTTTAGGATGTTTCAGTAAATACTAAAAATAATGTTCCTCTTTGTGCCATTTCCTAGATGTAGTGGAACCAAAGGTGAGGGACCAGCTCCCAGCCTCACACTCAGCAGCTGGACTTTCTAAAAAGTTCTCTCCACCCAGCCCTGTCCAGTCAGTTGTGAGTAAAGGCGGGATGGTAGCTAGTCCTGCTCTTGATGACCACATCCTGCACACAGATGAAGAGGGCCTGAGATTTTCTGCAAGGAAGACTCTTGTAGAGTTTCCTCAGAAAGTTGCATCTCCCCAAAAGCAGGGTTCCTATGCAGATGTTCACCAGAAGAGCAGGGAAGCAGCAGAGGACTCGTCCTCATCTTCAGATTCGTCCTCATCTTCATCCACCACCTCTGATTCAGAGTCTGATGAAGAGGAGCATGTCTCAGAAGTTGGTTCTCGGGTAGTGAGCAAAACCCAAGGAACCTTTCCAAAATCAGAGACTTCCTATAAAGACAGAACCCCTAAGACTGTGACAGCAGCCAAAGAGAAGACCTGGTCCCAGCTGCCACAAACGGACAGCATAGATCTGAAGAAACCCCGTCAGCCAGAGAAGAAAGCAGTGCCCCAGAGAGTAGCAGATCAAAGTGTGATGAAGCAATTTGGAAAAGAAAAACAGTTACAGAAAACATTTCAACCAAATGAACTAGATCAAGAAAGCCAAAAACCATTTAAACAGAAACAAAAGTTATCTGATTGCACAGATTCAGGATTATCTACACGACTATTGGCAGAAGAAGCTGGGGCAGAAAAACAACAGCAAGCAGCAACTTCTGAGACCAGAGGAAAAATCTTGGAACAACAAGTTCCAGAACCAAAGTGGAAGATGGCTTCTCCTCACTTAGAAAATCAAAATTTGGGGAAGAAGATAGTAGTAGGAAGCAAGAAGGCAGCTCCTCAGACCAAAGAAGTCGTTTTGGAAGATCAAATACCAGTAGGAGGTTTGAAGACAGTTCCTGCCCAAAACATAAACGTTATCGATGAAAAGACACCAACAGTAAACCTCAAGAAAGAGACTCAGACTCAAGACTCAGCAACTCGGTTGGAAGACCCAGCCACCGCACAGGGTACACCTTAACTTATCGTTCGGAGGTTTCCTTGGTCCTTCAGGGGCTGGTTATACTCTAAAAGATGTATTTTATTGTCTTTCTGATTATAAAGGAATGTTATGGTCAGATTATATAGTAGAAATAGGCCTTATCTCACTGCCTCAACTAAGAAAAGATTATCTTAATTATGAATAATGCACATCTTTAAACTCCAGACTCCTGAACCATTTTAAATTTGTTTGAAAAATGAAAGAGTATGCTCTTGGCTTTCTTAATGGATAATTAACCAGTATAATTTTTTGAAAACTGATAGTCTTAACACCATTACCCTTAACTTCTGAGGGTGACCAGTGAACTTGTGGAGCAAGTTCCTAAGTGAGGAGAAGGGAGTCTACTGGTTAACTTGCCCAGTCAATGAGCATTAGTTATACTTAATGATATAGTTGTCAGAAGAGCAACACTGGGTGATGGCTTTAACTTGGCATCCCTATGCATGAGGAAAACAGCATTTTAGGAACCAGAGTAGTGTTTCCCAAAGATGACCATGGAAGACATAAATGTCCTTGTCACTGGACAACAGGCCTGCCACTGGCCCTCCTGAAAGTGGGCTTCTTCAGTTTTATGTGGTGAATTTTTCGAAGGCCTTTTGTGTCCATGAATTTTTAAAGAGGAATTGGGCTGGTTACTATTGTTACCATTCTCTTAACCACTGAACTTTGAAAAATGTACTGTGTGCTAGGTAGGTTCTGGCAAAACTCTCGGCTTCTTCAGGACAGCTTTAAACTGTATCATGACTGGCTCACTCAGATCCTTCTTGCTCATTCTCCTGTTGGAGCCTGTTCTGTCCTTTGTTCATTCCTTACCTGGTACACTAATGTAATCGATTGCAGGATGTCTACAAGATTTAAGTGTTTTCTTCCCTTTCCACTTCGTTTCATCCCCTCTCATTCATATGAGTAGTGCCAGTGCTTGCTCGACTTCTCGAGGAGAACTGCATTTCCTGCTGCTGCTGCTGCTGCTTCCAGTCTTTGTGTTACCATTGGAAGGAGGAACATCACCAGAGCTTTCAGGATAAAAACACATTGAATTTGGGGGCTTCAGATTGACCGTGTTGGTGGGGAAAACTACGTCTAATTTCCTGTGAATTTATTCCTTAATTTTTTATGGCTGTGTTTTCAAATATTCTCTTTTAAAGAAGCCAGCCATCCCTGCTGTAGCCACACTGCAGGGTCCTGACAGCAGCACAGATGCAGAGGTCCACTAGCAGTCCTTCCTCTCCCACTTACCTAGTTTTGGTGTTTCAATTTTTTGTTATTATAAAGAATATACAGCAAAAACATTATTGTTGTTGTTATGTGCCGTCGAGTCGTTTGCAACTCATAGTGACCGTATGTACAATAGCCCTAAACCCTGCTCTATCCTGTGCCAATCTCATTGCCTCTGACACACCCATCCCGATTACCCCAGTCACTGAATCAATCCACCTCATAGAGGGCCTTCCTCTCCTGCGCTGTCCCTCTACTCTACCAAAAACATACAGATTTAAATTTCTGCATGTTAGTTACCTGACCCTTTGCCTTGCAGGTAGATGAGGTTTTTTATAACAGCTTTCAGAATCCAGTGTCCTTCCATCATTGCCTCCCTAAATAAACTATAACACACTCTGTTTTGAAGATGCATGAACACCACATTGAAGGTAGCTCACTGAGATTGAAACAATGTCACATGTTCAAAGAAGGTAGCATTTTTGTGTAACACAGCTTTAAAAATGACAAACCAAGCTTTTGAAAACAGACTGTTTAAGAAAGAAACTGAAGTTTATTATAATTCATAACAGACTATGAACGGGTCAAGACAGATAGACCTAGAAAAAGATATTTAAGTTCTTTTTTTTTTGTGCAGCCTAAATCGATAGCCCTCAGACGTGGTTTCCAGATGTCTCAAGTCAGAACCTGTCCTGAGCCTGTCATTCCATACAGGACCCATGGTTGGATGTGGCATGTCATACTGCAGGCGACCAGTATTTTTTCCACTTCAATCATGCACTTAGTTTTTAGATAACTAAATACATTTTCTAAAAAGGCTAATCACCATGGAGTTGATGCTGACTCATGGAGTTTGTCAGGGTTGGACTCGGCTCGACAAGGTTTTCAGTGGCCCATTGTTTACAAGTAGCCCACTATACCTTTTTTTCGGAGGCATCTTTGGGTGTATTTGAAACTCCCACCTTTTTTTTTTAGTCATCAAGCACTTTACAATTTGTGCCTCTTCGGGGCCTCACTAACTGCTCAGATGTATGCATTTTACATTTTTTTTTCTACTTAAAGAAAATGAGCCCTCTTTTTCCTCAAGCCTTTAATCTATAGCAAATGCTTTAAAAAAAAAGGATTAAAACTACACATTGTATTTCTAGCTCCCTCCCCCATATTCTGGGGAGCCTTGGTGGTGCTAAGCACTTGGGCTGCTAATGGCAACAGTGGTGATTTAAGTGCACCCGCCATGCTGGGAGAGAACAGGTGGTCTACTTCCACAGACATGGAGCCTTGGTGCGCCTGTGGGGCACTTCTGCTTTCTTCCATAAAGCTGCGATGAATCAAAATCAACTTGATGGCAACACATTTGCTTTTACTTGTGTTCCTATAAGACATTTGAAAAAGTCGGGATTTATTTTCTCCTGTTTGCAGAATTAGAAGTCTCTGTTTCTGAAAAATGTTCTAAAAATGGCTTATTTGTGTTACAGACAGATTTCTAATGGATCTCTTCCCCCCTCCCCCTACCCTAAGTGACTTGAAAGTCCCCTGTTTGTTTTAGAAAGGTTCAAAATTCTGACAAATCCTGGGCCTGGAAGGATACAAAAATATTAAGGCATTTAATAATAACTTTCATTTGCTTATTGAAGCTATATTAAAAATACATGTTGAACTAATACCTTTATCTGCTTGTAAAGATTCTGTTGCTTTTCTAGGCTTCCTATTCTAATTAGACACTTTATGCAGTGCAGATAGGATTTATGAGGATTGTTTGGTATGTATGCAAGCTCATTTTCTGTTCTCACAGGCTGTATATCTCCTCCACAGTTCAGGATGCCGCACCTGTTGAGCCGTTTGACAATACCACCTACAAGAATCTCCAACACCATGACTACAATGTGTACACCTTCTTAGATTTGAACCTGGACCTCTCAAAATTCAGAATGCCTCAGCCTGCCTCAGGAAGAGAATCCCCAAGGCACTGAGGACTCCAAGGATTGCACTCACATTGTCTTTACTGCTGTCTTGCTGCAAAAATAAAATCCACTGAACAGTCAAGGGGCCCTTGTTTCTGATTTCCCTTTCAAATCTTTTCCAGACCACAGTCGAGTTGCAGCAGTATTGCTGAGTATTTTATTCAGAATACATTTATAAATACCTGCTATGTGCCAAAGGTTTTTCCTCATTTGGCCTGCTGGCCAGTTCTGTAAAATTAGAGAATTCAGAGTACTTTGCAAGCGTGTGATGCTGCTGTGTTAAGCTCTAGTCAGTTTAATGTTGATCTGATTTATTAATTAGGTGTTAATAAGTGTGTTAGTGACCTCTCACTTTCAAAATCTAGTTCTCAAATCCACCTTTGACTTCTAGGGAGAAAGAAACAGTCTCATGATTTACAGCCTTGGAGAAACTTGATGAAGGTCTCTTTCCAAGTCACAAACTGACTCAATGGCAGGAAGTGAGTTCTCAAAGTTTATTAATTTTCACTAGCTATATGCATGGCAAAGAAATAAGTTCTCTATTTTTCATTATGGCAGAACAGAATACTTGATTTACCCTGCATTTGATGTCAATCTTGGGAAGTTTTTAGTAGCTGATCTACATCCTGTGCCCACATGCAGGCTGAAATTTCACTCTTAAGGATTTTTAAATTGTCTGAATTATCTTCAGTCTCTAGTAATTTACCCATCACTTGGGAACATTCATCACTTACCAGATCTACCTTCCACTAAACATTTGAACATAATTCAAGCAAGTTTTTATCCCCACACTAAAAAAAAAAGACAAAACAAACAAAAACCACAAAACCAAACCATTGTTCATTGTCTTAGCACATATTCATCATTTTCTTTCAAATATTCACCAGAGCACATTTAAAATCCACTTTTCTAGTAACATTCTCTTGCTGGTATTACCAGTATTCCCCCACCTGCACCCCCACTTTTTGTTAAATATTAGTTTACATACAAAGTTCATAAAGGTCATACACATTGTTTTTCACACCAGACCTTTCCCCTTTACTAATCTCTCCCTCCACTCATCAAATTGTATGACCCTATATTTAAGCCCCCCTCATTGGATTCTTGTACACACTCTACAATAATGGTCCTATGCAGTGTTTGTCTTTATGAGACTGAGTTAGGGAATATGTTCTTAATTTGCTTTTTGCAGAATAAACAGGCTTGTGTGCATCACAGGGTGTGTGCATACAGGCCTTGTTGATTGCCTGATTGCCGTCAAGTTGAGCACAACTCATAGCAACCCTGCGAACACAAGGCCTGAAGTCTTTCTATAACTATCGTCGTTTCTCAAAGTTCATAGAGTTTCCAGAGGCATGTGGTTTAGGAAGAGGATGTCACTCCTTCTTCCAAACCTGTCTTAAACGGAGCTCCACCAAACACTGTCCACCATGGTAACCGTTAGGGAATTTGACATCCCAAAGGCACAAGATTCAGCATCACAGCAACCCCAGGTTACCTCAGTACAGCATATTGACAGAAGAGTGCTGTACAACTTAGAAGAATGTTCTTCCACAATATAAGGGAAACAGACTTTTAAATGCAAAGGCCCTCCCTGAAGTCTTGTTGACTCTAAACAAGAGGCTTAAATAAAAACAACTATTATAATATGTTGTTGTTGTTGTTGTTGTTATGTGCCATCGGGTTGCCTGCGGAGTATAGCAACTGCTTTAGTGGGGTCATACAAATAGTCAGATGTTGAGAAACTGTTAAATAGTAAGGGCTTCTTTTTGCTGATGAATTAGTTGAATTGTCACTGATAATATGAGGTGAGATGAAATTCTTGCATCTATATATCAGAGGCAATGTGTTAAAACCAAAAATAAGATGTTTATTCTACAAAGACATGATATATTTTTCCTTCATCTTTTGTTGTTTGATTTTTGCTGCAAGTTGTGGGTTTTATTTAATTTTATGTGAGTTTTGGTCTTTGGCCTCCTGTCAGTTTATTTACAGCAAATGCAGTACAAACTGTGATTCACATTTCTAATCCTACATTTCTTAAAATTCATCCAAGTAAAAATACCAAAACAGAAAACAGTAGAATTAAAAGCCAACATTGTGAACATCTGCCTCAGATTTTGTTACACCCCACAGGCTTTAGCAACTCAGCAAAATTTTTCTACTCACTTTTTATTATAAAAGGAATAAAACATTACAAAAAACCATAAAAATGGAAAATAAAATTACCTAAAACCTAGTACTCTTAATTCTACAACTATTAACCATCTAGCTGTCCCCTGCTTGCTGTGGCTTGAGGGACAATCTCTGGTACACCCACAATTCTTTTTTTGTCTGCTTTCTCAGAGGAGGGCAATTCATTGGGATAGGGGTAGAGGCTGAGGCCACAAAGTGTGTTTCCCTGGGTTTCTCATGCCACATAGAATGGTAAACCTGGTATATATGTATGTGAGAAAACATTTTAATTGGCATATACTTTCAGGGTAAAACTTCAGAGAATAATTTTTGTTTCTCCTCTTGGACCCAGTCCCATCAGGCTAGTCTCCAGGTCACCCTGGGAGTTTGGTTGTCTCTTCTGTGCAGGGAAAAGGCCTGAGAGCTGTGAGAGAGCCAGGCACTGCTCTGTTTTATGACCCTCATTACTAACGGCTCCTTAATGTGCCATCTGGTGGAGATGCCATCATTATACACGCAGTCTTTGTTTTGGGATCAGTGTGACTTCCCATGTTCTCTTTTAAAAACTCACTGGCAGAAACATTTTTGTGAATTTAACTTATGTTGTGATATTTCCTAAGGGTGGATTTCCAGAAAGTGCCGGAAGAAGCACAGGGTGTGAACAGTTTCATTTCTGTTACATTTTTGAAACCAGTTTTATATCTACGAGTTAATTGGTTTTTTTTTACCACCTTTATTTTTATTTCCTAATACCTGAACTCTGACATCGTTTGAAGTATTTGCTCTCTTTGGCTTGCTACAAACATCCTTGGACTGGAAACAACTGCATGTAAACAAAAAACCCAGTCCTTAAATTACTGCGGATTCTTGCCCTAATGCTACTGACAGCTGGCTAATAACTGAAAATGGGCATATTATGATGTGGTGTTTCTGGTTCCTCTTTCAAGCTCATAGGAGTTTAAAAAATATGTATAATCTATGTTCTTTCAACTGTATGCCCTACCCAGGAAGTGTCCACTGGCTTTGCTCCCAGCAGTCTCAGACAGCCCAGGCATCACGTGTCCTGTTGTTACTTGCCGTAGAACTGGCTTTGATGCGTGCAACCCCCTGGACAAGAGAACTAAACAGCACCTGGTCACGTGCCAGCTTTGCATGCTTGATTCCATTGCTGAGGTTACCGTGTATTTTGAGCAGCTGCTAACTTAGAAGGCCCGTCTTCCAGAACCTAATTAAGTGCCGTCAGGTTAACTACACTCACAGTGACACTGTGAACAGACCTAACATTGCCCTACTCCACACCTCCCTCGCCCTCTCTGGTATAAAGTCGGTTGTTAAAATCACTGTGTCCGTCCGTCTTGTTGAGGGCCTTCCTCTCTTCCACTGATCTTTCTTAGTGTGATGTCCTTTTCCGAGGACCGGCCCGCGTGACAATGTGGCTATAGTATCTGAGACAAAGGACACGCTGGCTGCACTTCCTCCTGGACAGATTTGTTCTTTTGGCAGTTTGTGGGAAATCTTAGTACTCATCTCCAACATCACAATTCAAAGGCATCGATTCCTCTGACATCTTTACCATTGTCCAACTCTCAGGTACAAGTTAGAGATTATTTTATTGTGAATTACTGGGTTTTCACAGCCTAATTTTCAGAAATATTGTCAGGCTTTTCTTCATGATCTAAAATTTTTAGCTCTCAATAGAAAAGAAGACAGAATTATGAATTCAAAATTGAAATTAGATATGAAAGAAAAAAGACATGAAAGAAAATCTTAAGAATGACAAAAAAGGAGGTAACAAATGTTAAAAATGAATACAGTTATGGATTGAACTGTGTGTGTGTGTGTGTACATATGTATATTCTAATTCCTGTACGTGTAAATAGGGCCTTGTTTGGAAATAGTTGCTCTTAAGCCTAATACAGATACAGAAAAAGCCTGACAGATACAAACACACAAAGACAAACGCAGAGGGAAGACATGCTACGGAACTCCTGTGAAGTCTGACACACAGGATCTACCTCTCTCTGCCTAAAGCCTTGCCCTGAATTCAGACATAACCTCCAGAACTGAGGGAAAAGAAAATACACACTTTTTAAACCCACTCCTTTGTGATTTCTTTCTGTTCTAGCAGCACTAGGTAACTAAACAGACTAAGCATCATAGAATCCAGGGGGAAAGAAGTAATATTTTTATTATGTTTCTGACATGCCTTTGTATGTGTCCAGCATACCAAAAAACTTTCTTATCAAGTCAATTCCATCTCATGGGAACCCTCCTTGGGTTTCCAAAGCTCTAACCCTTTAAAGGAGACGATCTATCTTTCTCTCAAAAAGGGCTGGTGGACACCAGGGCACCGATGTACCAGATGTTTAACGAATATACTAACTTATGGTTGAATGCTTTACGATCATTTAGGTGACACTTGTTTGTCATCACTACTTTGATAAGCTATAAAAATAACCCAGAGGACTCTGGTGGCTTAGTGGTATGGCGTTGCACTGGCAATCCAAATGCAGACAATTCAAATCCACCAGCTGCTCTATGGGAGAAAGATAGGCAATCTCCTTCCGTGTGATCGACTGCCTCTGAAACCTGCTGGAGGGTTAGCTGTGAGTTGGTTTGGACTCGATGAAGCCTAACAGCAACAACTTAAAGACAATTCCATCTTTTCTCTTGCATGGCTAATCAAAATTTGGGTTTTGATAGTTTGTATACATAAAAAAATTACTTTAGCCTACAACCAGAAGATAAAATAGATGAATGGGACCTTCTAAGAATCAAATCCCTATGCACATCCAAAAACTTCTCCAACAGGGAAGCCACTGACTGGGAAGAAGTATTTGGTAATGACATATCAGATAAGGGACTTATATCCAGAATTTATAAAATACTTGAGCACCACAACAAGATAAAGGTAAATAATCCAATAGAAAAATGGGCACAGGATATGAACAGACACTTCACCGAAGATGACATTCTGATGGCTAACAAGCACATGAAGCAATGTTCAAAATCCCTAGCTCTAAGAGAGACGCAAATTAAAACAACTATGAGATAGCATCTCACCCCAGTCAGAACAGCAAAATTTAACAGAACAGCAAGCAACAAATGCTGGCGAGGTTGTGGAGAAACTGGAACCCTTGTTCGCTGTTGGTGGGAATATAAAATGGTGCAACCACTGTGGAAAGTGGTATGGTGCTTTCTCAAAAAGTTGCAAATAGAGATACCATTTGACCCAGCAATTCCACTACTGGGAATATACCCCAAAGAGACCATAACTGACATCCAAGCAGATATATGCACACCCATGTTTATCGCAGCTTTGTTCACAATAGCAAGGAGTTGGAAACAACCTAAGTGACCATCAACAAATGAATGGATAGAGAAGCTGTGGTATATTCACACAATGGAATACTAGGCTGCATTGAAAAACAAGGAACCCATGCAATATTATTCAAAATGGGTGACTCTGGAAGACATTATGCTGAGTGAAGTATCTCAGTCACAAAAGGACAAATACTGTGGTGCATACTGTTGTAAAACAGGACTGACCTTGGGGTTGGGAAGAGACTGAGAAAGATGGTTTTACTAATGTACACTGCATTGAAACAGATGAGGGAGAAAACTGTTTAAAAGGGGTACATGACTAGGTATTTTTGTCATGACAGGAGTCTAGAGCAAAGGCTACATGGTGGAGTGGACCTGGGGGAGGGTTTGTAAAACAATGAAAGAATTTTTCTTTCACTTTTCCAAGAGGGTAGTGTATTAGGGGGAAGGGTTGGGAAGGGAGAAAAGTTCAACAGTCAATGAATGGAAATCCGAAGTCTCTGTAAATTTTTACTGAAATTAATAATAAATTTAAATAAAACAAAAACAAAGTTACTTCACAAATTGATACCTTTGGTATTTGCAGTACTACGTCAAACATGGGAAGACTGATAAGTTTTCTCTCTTATTATCCCATCAATAAATGAAAATTAAAATGTCTATTGACCTACATTATATAGCATATTCCTAACAGAAAAGGATTTACTTTGTCTTGGCATGGATAAGAACGGAATGCTTTTCCACAGTTATTCTTTTCTTTTTTCCACAGTTATTCCTGAGTGCAAGAATTTTTCATAGTCTAGCTTCAGAAACATTAGCATGTCACCTCTTCTTCTCCTTTTCTCCTCATTTCTGGTGCCCAGCATGCTAGAACATGTGTATTTCTCATTCATATCACAGCTTTACATCACTATGTGCCTTCTGGCCATGTTAGGGCACTGGGTAAGGCAGCATGATAAGAATGAACCCAAATTAAGGTTACCCTCAACTTGACAACTTGACTCCCTTTATTCAGGACCTAAAATGACTTCAGCCTCTCCAGCACCAGGGCTAAAAGTGAATAGAAACAAAGAGATGGATCGTGATAAAGATATTTTCTTTTCACAAATCTGACAAAAAATACATGATCCTGTGAAGGCCCTGGCTGAACCCATCTCCCACCTCAGAAACTTGACCTTCCTTCTGCAAGGGTGGATTTGGAAGTATTTTTCACTAGTTTCACAGGAAATTCATTTCTAGGACGTGGGACCAAGTGGAACTTGTTCTGGATACAGTGAAGATTTTTAAGTGCATCACTTACATTAAAAGCCTCCGCACTTTCTATTAAGCTGATCCCAATCTAATATGCTATGAGTGAAGACATGGCTTATGAGTGACAGCAAGCAATATGGCCCCAAGTAGGAAAAAAAGGATCTTTAATATATAGTACCCTAAACCAGGCTGCTCCTTGGAGGCAAGGATTCTGAAGCTTCATCTGACATACTTTGGACATGTTGCAAGGAGAGACTGCTCCTTGGAGAAGGATGTCATGCTCAGGAGGGTAGACGGACAGCGCAGGAGAGGAAGACCCTCGATGAGATGGATTGACTCAGTGACTGGGGTAATCAGGGTAGGTGTGTCAGAAACAGTGAGATTGGCACAAAATAGAGCAGAGTTTAGTGCTATTGTACATAGGGTGCTATGAGTCACAGATGACTGGACAGCACATAGCAACAACAACCCTAAAGTGTTTGCTGCAGAAGCTGAAGGTGTTAGTCTTCAAGATGGATTGAAGCTCAACATCAAGAAGACAAAGATTCTCACCACTGGGTAACCAGCAGCACCATGATAGATGGAGAGGAGATTGAGGTTGTTAACAATTTCAGCTTGCTTGGCTCCACAATGAACACTCTTGGCACTAGCAGTCAGGAAATCAAAAGACAAATTGCACTGAGGAAATCTGCTGTGAGGGACCTCTCCAAAGTCCTAAAGAGTAATAATGTACATTAAGGTGTCCCCGTTCCAGGTCATTGTCTTTGTGACTATTTGCTATGTATTAGATAGCTGGACAATGACTAAGGATGACAGAAGAATAGCAGTCTTTGAGTTGTGATGCTAGAGAAGAGTATTGAACATACCCTGGACCACAAAGAGAACAACAGATCTGTCTTGAAGAGGTTAAAATCAAGTTTCTCCTTGGAGGCAAGAATTTTTAAACTCTGACTCACATACTTTGGGCAAGTGGCCAGGAGAGACCGGTCCTTGAAGAAGGACATTATGCTTGGAAGGATGGAGGGACAGTTTAGGAGAGGAAGACCTGGATTAGAAGGATTGACACAGTAACTGGAGTAATGGGGGTAGGTGTGCTCGAGTTAGTAAGACTGGGTCAGGATAGGGCAGGGTTCAGAACCATTGTACATAAGGTCACTATGAGTCGATGGTGACTCAATGGCACATAACAACAACCACCACCTTGTCATCTTTGTAAAAAAAAAAAAAGCAATTAATCATTTGGCAATAGGGAGCATCCCAAAATTAGAATGATGAGGAAGTCTGAGTTTACACAGTAATGTGGCCACAGAAGCTAAAACAGTTATACAGTCATTTATACATGCCAGAAGAGCATGGCTGCTACCTGGTTTCTTGGGACAACAGTTTAAGATGCTAATAACTTTTAGAACTAGCAGCAAGCTTATTTCAGTAGATTTGTGTCTAATCATCAGTTCCTGTTCATTCCTGCATTCCAGACAAGCCGACAGAGGCTACTTGCCTCTACTCAGCAGGCACAGGCTCCACCTGTGTCCTGAAAAACTGTAGAATTTGTCTTCCTAAGGAAACGAACATTTAAGTGAAGGATTTTGAAGGACATCTTAATAAACCTTTGAAAAATCAACTAAAACCATCCACCCTTCTGGAACTCTCTGTTCCCTTCTGAACACATTAACCCATATTTCTTTTGTTACACTCAGTTTCCTGATCATGAAACATTGGTTAACAGCACGTCACTCTATGGAGTAAAATATTAAAACTCCTGATCATAAATCACTGGTTGAATAGTAGATGCCTAGTATTGTTTTTAGGAAGCTCTGGTGGCCTAATGGCAAGGAACTACACTGCCAAACCAAAGGCAGGTAGCTTTGAGCCACCAGCCGCTCTGCAGAAGGAAGATGCGTGGTCTCCTCGTGTTGGATTCACTACCTCTGAGAACAAGCTGGAGGGTCAGCTTGGAGTCGGTTCCAACTTCATGGCATTTAACGAGAAGTGTTGTTTTTATCAATCTCTATTTATGATTCCTTTCATCATTATACACTATGACACCTTCTGCCAGGCAAGGTGATCGTAGAGAGGATTAAACCAGGCTGCTCCTTAGAGGCAAGGATTCTGGGGCTTCGTCTGACATACTTTGGACATGTTGTAAGGAGAGACAGGTCTTTGGAGAGGGACATCATGCTGGGTAGAGTGGAGGGACAGCACAGGAGGGGAAGACCCTCTATGAGGTGGATTGATTCAGTGACTGGGATAATCGGGATGGGAGTGTCAGAGGCAGTGAGATTGGCACAGGATAGAGCAGGGTTTAGGGCTGTTGTACATGGGGTTGCTATGAGTCGCAAACGACTCAACGGCACATAACAACAACAACAACAATAACCCTTTGATTGGTTCCACCAACCCCACTGCCATCAAGTAAATTCTGACTCAGGGTAACTACAAAACACAGTGGAACTGCTCAAAAAATTTCCAGAGTCTTTACAAAAGTAGATTACACTTTTCTCTCTTAGAGTGGCTAGTGGGTTCAAACAGCCAGCTTTGTGATTAGCAGTCAAATTCTTTAGCCACTGTGACACAAAGGATGATTTGTGATTGGTTAGTCACATTTCATTTTCCTTTCAATCTGGGAAAGTTGGTCACCGAGTGCTAAACTGGCTTCTCCTAATGGGATGCGTGTTGCTCACTCATGCTGATAAGTACTTCTAACCCATGCTAACTCATTCTGGTCAGGAAAACTTGTGTTAGTTTTGAGTCTGTATAAAACTCTTAAAAAAAAAAAGTTGGGGGAACTTTCCAGAACGCTTCTGCTCCCCCCACACCAGTCTCGCCAGCTCAACGGCTATAGAAAATGGTGAAGGAAGCCACTTACTATGATGTTCTGGGGGTCAAACCCAATTGCCACCCAGGAAGAGTTGAAAAAAGCTTATAGGAAACGGGCCTTGA